ACACACACACACACACCCACACACCCCTCCCACACACACACACCCACACACACACACACACACACACACACACACACACACACACACTTTCTCCTTTATCCGGAAACTGTTCCTTCAATGGTTGTAAGTGGTTGATTGTAAGCACTGTTCGCCCCCATGGAGACAATTTCCACCATTTGGATGATGAGCTGCTTCGCACATATCTGTCAGGATCAACCCGGGCTCAGTAGAGATACAACACACCAACAGACATAAGGATATACTTGACAGACAGGATAACGGTTTGGCTTGGAGATTGAACCCATGTCACCTGTGCAGGGATATGAGCCTATCAAACACACCACAAGAAACGCCAATTTCTTGATAAATGGACTTGCGCTCAGAAATGTCCCCCAGATGGTGCCATGAAGAGTCACAGTGCGGACAACTTCTGTTTGAATCCCAAAGCACGTTCTTGGCCCCGGATCTTTTAAAGGATTTCAGTGCTCTGCCCTTTGCGTCACTTTAGTCCTCTCTCTCTTGCCGTTGTTAACTCCCAGTGGAGCACAGGCCATCAACAACATTACTCCAGCGAAGCCTGTCCTGAGCATCCTTTTCTACCTGTTTCCATGATGTCCCCGCTTTTCATTCTACACTCCATATTCTCTCCTCTCCTCGGTGATGAAGGTCCTCCATCTTCCAGAACTGGCGGCCGTGTTGTTTTTGCTGTTGATGTTTTTGTAGCTGCTTTTTGTTTTACGGGAAAGGGCTGCCAAACCCTTTGCCCAACCGACCTTAGTCGCCTACTACGACATGCGCGGTACGGATACAGTGGTCCCATTATTTGCTCCCCTGTCTCTTGGACAGGGCCCCGAGAACCACACGGGTGACTTTAGTCCGATTGGGTAGTAAATATTTCCCATTTCCTTTAGATGAAAAAACAATGTGGGGGCTCTCGTGGCCTAGATGTTAAGGTGTTGGCCTCTCATTCAAAGGTCCCGGGTTCGAATCTGGGTAGCGACCGAAAAATTTTCTTCTCTAAATTTGTCTCCTTTCGCCTCCTTTCCTGCTCTCTAGCAATATTCTGTTGTCTGCTTTCATTTCCATTTCTGCCCCCACCCCCTCAATTCCTTTACCCCCTCCTCTG